ATTTTACGTTTAGAAGACCATAACATACCAGATGTTTGAAAATATTGGACAAAAAATATAATCTTCCCCTTAAGGATTGTTTTACAGAATTATATATATCTACATTTACTGGACTATAAGGTAACGGCCATTTGTAATGTGTATTCTGGAAGTTAGGGAGGACGCGTTACCAATTCTAACCTATACTTGACTACATCACCATGAATAAATAGTGAACGGAGATGAATTCGACCTAATTAGTGGAACTTGCTTACATTGCAATTTAATATTCGTTTGCTATGGTTTATTTAAAATGTGGTGTGTGGTTCATTATCTTTTTTTGTTATGGTCACTTCCTTGCTCCCAGTAGAGACGTTAGAAACGCTGCGGAGTAGCATGCCATTAAAACCTCAATAAAATTCACTTTTATTTCTCAGATAAAATTACATAGCTGAAACGTAAACTGTAATGTTTGTCATTTGGTGGTTGGAAGCTGTGCTTAAAATAGTAGCTTGCAAAAGTCTGACGATCTGGAATGCCGATAAAACAGCTAATTCAACTGTTTCAATATTCACGCGAATCTAAAACTTTCCATAACGTAAAATCCATCTAAATTGTTCAGATAAAGTTCGAACTACAGGTTTTGCTGGCAATAAGGATGTCACATATTAACAGGGGCTTACAATTATATGCACAATAGTAGCTGCTGCGCCCTGTAACATCTGTTTTATTACTATATGTCTATATAACCTGAACCAATCATTTTTTTATTCAATACAAAACAATAGAATTATTCCAATTTGAATCCGCGTCTTGCTTTTCGTTCAGCAAAAACTTCCATCGCAGAATCCAAATTTAGTGTATTAGCTACTGATCTTTCGATTTAGAGGATACAGAAGTTGTTGAGTCTGTCTTCAGCCAAAGAATAATATTATAAGAGCTCATGACACGTTCAGCACTAGCTGAACCTATAGGCAAAGTCAAAAACAATCTGAAAAAACTGCAGCTCCCTGGAAAACTGTCTACAAAATTGTTTGCAATCATGAACTTCAAATAATCTAGCGGGCTGTCATTAGTCATTAGTAAAATTACGATTTTCCAAAAAATCCATGCTCGTAAAACTAGCTTGTTCATATTTCAGATCTGTAGTGAGAAATTACGAATATTTTTCCATCAAATTAGTGTCGCTGGTTTCTAATTCGTTTTCTTTTAGATTGACTAATTTCACTTCACGAAATCCTTCAATACGTTCTTGCAATTCGTTACTTATTGAATCCAAAACTTCGTAGTAATTTATTCGATGTTTTTAAATAACCTCTCCACTCCTTGAAAAATAAAAGGGTCATTCGGTAATTTTTTTAGAAATGAAATGATCATTTTTCAAAAAATTTCTTAAGAAATGAAAGGGAAATTTTCTTATTCAAACTGAATGCTAACGCGCCGTTTCATAAACATTACGCAGATGGTCATTAAAAGAATATAACAACACTCTGATATCTTGTTATTAATTTTACATTCAGACTCGCTGTACTATATAGATACTAGAGCTGATTTTTGCTGGGGGGCCCTGTGACTACCCTTCCTTGGGGGGGACGAACGGCAATGTCCATTTTGCCATTACTTAAATCCGCCACTGTGATGGACAAAACCACAAAAAAGTTGTTGCACTGGATTCAAAGGAAAACAAAAAAGAAGAATTATAAATTGTTCATTTTTGAATTAGATTTATTATTTTAATCACTTTTAGGCTGTACCCTAAGAGTACAAGAGTAGGGTTGTCATCTGCCATCCGTCCGCCAGTCAAGTTTTTAATTTCTATGTCAGAAGCACTGATCCCCCCCCTGAAGAGACGAGAAGAAAATGAAGTTTTTTGACCCCCCAGACACAAATCCTGGATCCGCGTTGCTCTTGATACAATCGAACATTCTTCCTACAATTGTCGTCGCAAAAACCAATTACCTACAACATATCAGTCTGTTCATCAAAAGAATATTCCATATTCACGAGACAAATAATCAAAAACACCTTCACCAAAAATTATTTCAAACGTTAGTTAACTATTTTGAAACCGAAAATACGTGGTACTTCTTTGTCCCCGGCATATTGGGACGCTCTGTATATAAAATAGCCCAATGACACTACAAGACTTGTATATAACTTTTTCTCTAACAGGTTATGTCTACATAAGATAAATTAAGTACATAGTCAAACTCACTGTACTGAAGGTCACCATTGTGACAGAAACAGTCACAATAAAAAAAAGGTTTTTTCAAAACACGTGAATTCGATTTGCCAGAGAGCAAACATGAAAACCACAGTATAAGTTTCAGATGTTACATCACATACGACTAAAGGAACATGAAAGAGGTGCTCGATATAAGTTACATCAAGCAAAATCCCCCAGCTAGAGTTTAGTAACCGAACTGGAATGTTTCAAGTGGAGCTCTATCCCCCGTGAGACACTTGGGGCTTTCAGCGAACCATACTATCGTTCACTTTCATTTGCCGTCTTTATTGAGGGAGATCGATTAAAAGTAACGATAAAAGAACACAATACCGCAGTGCTTTTTCCATGGTACAAAATTTCAACATGTGTATCCTAATGAATAGCAACTCGAGAGTTCACTGGGTTGTAATAAAATACCAGATGAAGGTTTTGTGGACCGACTCCATATGAAGGGTATCCTCATCGAAACATTTTGTCTATAACAAGTTTGGAAATTAAAATATTATGTGATAACATATTCATGAACCCCCGCTTAAAGCTTGGGAATCCCCATGGTTTTTCTCCATTTATGATTCTCTCGTGGACCCTCGAGGTCCCCCTGGACAATTTTGGGAATCACTGGTTGATAATCAGCCTTCGTCGGTAATAACTGTAATATTTTGGATTCCTACTTCCTTTATGACATATGAAGGGTACTGGAACAAAAATTAATGTCAGAAATTTGATGTTTTGTAGTTAGAACCGGCAACATGTAATCTGAACACAGTACATGAAGTATAGGAAACACGTAAAAACATTGACAGTTCGTTGTTATACCCTATTGAAAACTTACCGTGCAGATTTAAAAAAATATGAATGTCACAGCCGTTGTATGAAAAAAAGATAAACGTTCACTGGTCGTCACCTAAACTAGTAGCTACAATAGATTACCATACATCAACCTGCGACGAAAGAAATAAAGGCTAAGTAATCATTTTTAAGCAGTTACCATTAATTTTGTTTTCTTTGTTGAATATTCTTTTGAATGAAGCCTTTTTTAGCTCATTGCTTTTTTCTTGTTCCAATTAAATAAATACTTGAAAATAATTCTGTTTGAGCTATCGAAGTTAGAAAATACCTTTTTCTCATGTTCATTGTCCTGTTTAATCAATTTCCTGTTAAGGTTCTCCTCATGATTAGAACAGATCATAAAACCTAAGATTTCGATTTTGCTGACCGAAGGCTCATTTTTAACCTCAACATCTCAAAAAAAGTTTAATTCAGGCATGGACGCTAATACATAAAAAATGTTTAAAATCATAAGGAGAGTCTCAGAATACAAAGATAAAAAGGATTTTCAATTAAAAACATGTTTGGTCTGGATTCACTTTTGGGCTATGCTGTGTATCAAAAAAAATATATTCATAAAAAGATCACACCCCAAGAGTGAAGAGGCACGCTCTTTTTTTATTTTCCTTCCCCTGTACACAAAATTTGCAAATTCAATAAGTTAATTAAACTTTTTTGTAACTTGTGGCATACCGTTAGAATTGAGATAAACTAGAGTAGTTTTTAAAAGAATTCTAAGAACGTGAACGCTTTTAGTTTTTTTTTACAGAAATTCAAAATTGAGACTTACATTTTTTGTTCTTCTTTGTAACCGTTTGTGAGTTTATAAATAAAAAACTACATGCTGCTGGCAAGTAATGTTGATTTTGAAAGATTGGTACAACATCACCCATTAAGATAAATTAATCATTAGGTGGACATACTTATTTTTTTTATTTCTCTTTGTGTATTACATTTTGGAGTTTTTACTAAAAAAAATTAAAATCTGCATAATTAATTCCGTTGGGCTAAAAACTATTTGAGGGACCTGGGGTGATAGAAAAAGTCCTCCTCTGTCCGACATTTCAATTTGGCAAACGATGCACCAAACACCCTGTATATTATACTAGGTATAAAAGCCAGGAAAATGCGTTCTAAAGAAGTTGTCGTCAGAAAGGTTAGCTCTATTTATTTATCAAATTAGAGACATCAGACAGAGAATATCACTAAAATAGCATCCACAGTATAACTAAGCATACTGAGTTGTAAGCACTGTTATTTATAGTCTACATGTATACTGAGTAGAGATTTAAAATCTCCCGAAAAATTGGGTGCCGGAAAAAAACAATTGAGGAAAAAAAGTAAAAATACGTAAAAATTGAAATTTGTTATATACAAGATAAAAGTATTCTGGTTACTGATTTTTCCATTAATATAAATCAAACAGAAATAATTTTAATAAAAACCGCAAGCTACGCCTCTGAAGGATTTGTTCTCGGTAAATACCCGTCGATTTTCGGTGAATCCGCGACCACTACAGCTTTCGGTTAATTCCCGATCACGCACAGCGACACGGCATTTCGGTAAATCCCCGTATTCCTGAATTGTTCAGTTGAGAATGAGATTCTCCAATATCGACACGTCTTGTTTATTTTAAAGCACGCCTTATCACAAGCGCAGTAAATGAATAATACAAAGTGAAATTTTGCTGTAATAATTGAGTGTGTTTGTTCTGAAGATTGTTAGTGTTGTTGACCCAAGTGTTTGTTTTGGTTTCTGGTAAGTGAATATTTTATTAAATTTGGAATAGCTTTAAGTGTTTTGAAGGTGGGATTTCAATTTACTTGCATATTTTCCTTACTTTTCTTTATTACTAATATCAAGATTCAGTAATAATAATTATTATCTGTATACTCATTTGCAAGAATTTGATCAGTTGATAAAGTGCAGCAAGATATTTTATTTATGTATTTTTTTCTTGTTGCAGGACAATCTGGTTCGACCTTCTTCACATATGTGGCAATTATTTGATATTGAAAAAACAGATAAAAAATCCAAGGCTGTGTGTAAGTTTTGCTGTTTTAAATACGCCTTTCCAAACGCAACTCGCATGACGAATCATATATTAAACCAATGTTCAAAATGTCCTTTGGAAATTAAACAAAAATATGGCAATGAAATACAATCGAGTTCGAAGTCTTCGACGTCAGAAGAAAAAGAAAGTAACAAAGATATCCGGCTAGAAGCATTAGAAGATACCAGTCTCCCTTCAACTAGCAAAAAGGACGCGTCATCAATGTCATCATCTTCCGAATCTCCATTACCATCAGTAAAACGCAAGAAAGCCAGCTGCCAACAAACATTGAGCGGGTTTTTCGATAAAATAGCTGTATCAGAGTCTTCTCAAATTGATGAGGCATTAGCTAGGGCTCTTTATGCTTCTGGTGCTCCTTTTTCTCTTTTCAAAATAAATATTGGCGACAGGTTTTTAAAATGTTAAGACCGTCATACCAAATACCTAGCCATTACGCCCTGTCAACAAACTTACTTAATTCCGAGTATGACCGTGTACAGATAAACTGAAGTCAAAAGCTTTCTGAATCTGATAGTTTATCAATAGAACAGATAGTTGAACAAATATAGTCGGAGATGGATTAATCAATATATGCACGCCTATACCTTTATTTTACAAAACTGTTCATTGTGGCTCTGGAAAAGAAACGGAAACGTATATAAGTAATGAACTTATCAAAGTTATTCAAGAAATAAGGCCACATTTTTTTTTTAATAGTGACTGACAATGTGAGCAATATAAAAGCTGCTTGGCATATTATAAATACAACATATCCTCACATATCTTGTGTTGGTTGTGCAGCTCACACTCTGAATTTGCTACTAAAGGACTTTATGAAAGAAAGTTTGTTTGAAAAAATAAGTAAGGAGTCTAAAAAAATTTGTAAATATTTTAAGCAGCAGCACATACTTTATGCTGCATTTAAAGAAGCACAGGCCGAAAAAACCCAAAAAATAAAGTAATTTCCCTCAAATTACCTGCAAAAACAAGATGGGGTTCTCTGTTTATACCTGTTGATGCGCTTTTAAGAAATAAGGAAGCTCTGCAATGTAAAATGTAAAACAAAATATTAAAAAAGTTGTATTGGATGATGCGTTCCGGCAAAACCTACAATATACTAAACAAATCCTGCATCCTGTATCAAAATCGATAAATTTGGTAGAATCGGATAGATCTATATTATTAGAAGTGCCTTTTGTCTTTAAGTATATAAAAGACACAATATTAGATATTCCCCAACAAGTTGACCTGACTTGTTCTCTTATCGAAAGCTTGCTAAAATATGTTGAAGAACGCTACGAATTTTGTTCTAAGCCGATTCACTTTGCAGCCAATCTTCTTGATGCTCGTTTTATAGGAGAACAATTGAATGAAGACCAACTAATGGAATCAATAGACTTCATTTCTGAAATGGCTCGTTCACTAAACCTAGATGCTGGCAAATCTAGCCCAATTTAGAACAAACACTGGATTTTGTTTGTCGAAATTCTTTATGGGATAGTGCGAATAGTACTCATCCCGTTATATGGTGGCCAGGCTTGTGTACATCGCAGTCACTTATGTCAATTGCCTCCCGAATTTTAAATGGACCGCCATCTTCCGCCTCTTTAGAAAGAAACTGGTCTTTACACGGCCTCATACATACAAGCAAAAAAAAATAGATTATCACAGGATAAAATTCAGAAGCTGGTTGCTATTCATTCTAATTTGGTTAAAAAAGAAAAACAGACATTCATTTAAGATGCTAGACCAGTTCCACTTTTAGATTATGCTGTTTTGTCCGTCCATGAAGACGAAGCGGAGATCGAGTCTGAATCAGATGCTTGATCTGAAGATTCAAACTCAGACTCAGATGAAAATATACCTCTGAGCGCTTTGGTTAAATAATGTGTTTTCTAAGTTTGAAGCTTTGTTTTTAATACTTTCAATTATTAGATAATAATTATAATTTGACCCTATATACATGTATGTATTTATATCTTAGATATTAATAGATATTATTAAAGTATGTTTTTGTATTTATTTTTACAAAATATGTTTAAAAAACTTTAAAGTTGGTACCTATTTTTTTCGTTTCAAGTCACAATTAAAAAACATTTAAATTTTCCTATTTTTTCCAATTTTTCCCATGGTCTGGAAAAAACGGAAAAAAACGTGTGATAAAGAATCATTCAGTTTTCGTAATTTCTAATAATTATCTGTGTCTTCAAGGACCCCTATCAACTTGATACAACAATAGACGATAAAACGAATAGTGATAAGTAATCTAGAGAAATTTTAAACCGCATGAAATAATCGTTTTCCATCTGAACTTGTCCCGTTCCAATTCGGCCCTCATTAAGATATTTACGTTTCCAAAACAGCGAAATTCACCATAAAATGAGCCTACGCATACAAGAATAACAAGCGTGAACGTATAAAATCATTCAAATTTCACGCAGGTCTTTCGGTCCTAGAGTCGACTTGGCGCAGCGCCCTACATGCGTAATAAATCAGACAGGCTGAAATCACGTACGAATGGTGGCTGAAACGGTAAATCGCAGCTGCCTCGATCACCAGACCAGAACAACCCTGGTATAGGGGTGCAGGGTACGACAGCTATCCACAGGGCAGCATTAAATTTTATTCCGTTTACTTTTCGCTCGTTTCGTCACACACATAATTTGCTTGCGTTGTTTGCATACGCGATTGCTTGAGGGCTAACACGTGCTTGTTTGGTTTGATTGGGCTTGGTGGGGTGATTTACTTGAGGACGTTGGCATGGGTGGGATCATACCCCGGTAAGGTGGAAAATACTATGAATCAGTTAGTAGCTTATTACCAGTAATAATACCGGCTGGTACTACCAGTCAACCTTTTACTTCTTCTTGGAGGATATCTTCGCGAGTATAAGGTAATCATTATAACTATGAAAACAAGGATATGCTTATACTTCTACCTTTTTCTCGGAAGCAAGACCTTATACTTTTAACTTATGCTTGCGATGATATGCTTCTCTTTTATGAATACTGCTCAATGAATTCTACGGTGACCTTGAATTTTACCTCTAGCTTCACCTCCAAGGTTAATCCATAATCCATGGTTAACTTTTTTCAAACATAAACTCCTATTTTTGATGCCAGCAATCGAAAGTACAGCAAATTTTACGTTCAAACATAATTCCAAGGTTAGGATGGCTACTAAAGGCCAAATGAGGATCAAATTTGTACTGCTAGGAAAACCTCGATAAGTCTCACAGAATGAGTGATGGAAACAACTATCAAGGTCAGCTCTTTGATAAAGCTTAACAAGGAAGTGAACGCTGACCTTGATTTTCACCTTCAAGATTATTTCAAAATAAATTTTTTTTTTCACAATGAAAATCGCCTTTTTGATAGAAAGAGGGGAAAATTTTACGTTTAAGTACGTATCGAAGTCCAAGGTCAGGGTGCCAACTGAAGGTCAAATATGTGCTGCTAGGAAAACCTCTATAAATCTCACAGGATCAGTAATAAAAGCAACGATCAAGGTCAAGCCTTAGATAAATTCTAACGAGGGAATGAACGGCGATCTTGGATTTGACATTGATCCCCATTTTCAGGGTCATTTCAAGGTCAACTTCATTCTTTTAATGGAGATTCCTATTTTTGATGCTGGAAATCAAGAGAGAGGAAAATTTTACGTTCAATTACGAATTGAAGACCAAGGTCATGGTGACCACTAAAGGTCAAATGTGAGCTGCTAGGAAAATCGCTATGAATCTTACAGATTGATGACGAAAATAAGTATCAAGATCAGTTGTTTGGTAAATTTGACAAGTGACCTTGGATTTGACCTTAAAACTCGCGTTCAAGTCATTTCAATGTCATTTTTTCCAAACATAAACCCGCAGGAAGAATATCGAGTAAAAATCGTTTGTAGCGAGTACCGTACTTCCCTCGTTAAAACTTACCCAAAGTCAACTTAATTTTTTTAATAAAGAGCTGAGAATTTTACTTTCGAATATGTATTAAAATTCAAGATCAGTATGACCGCTGGAGGTCAAATGGGTAAAATAAAAGGCAAATATGTGCTGCCAGGAAAATCTCGCAGATATCCTGACGAAAATAACTAGTAAGGTCAGGTCTTTAGTGAATTTTCACAAGTAGCGGTGATCTTGGATTTGACCTAGAACCTCACCTACAAGATCAGTTCAAGGTCACATCTATTCTATCGAATAGAAACGCCCGTTTGATACCGAAAATTCAGAGAGCCGAAAATTTTATGTTAAATGTGTATTGGAATTCGAGGTCCAGGTGACCACTAGAGGTCGTATAAGTTTTTTTTTTTATTTTTTTCGTGCTTGAGACCATAGCTTACCATACCTTTCAAAAAAAAATTCATATTTTTGATGCCGACAAGAACATCAAATTTTACGTTCAAACATAATTCCAAGTCCAATACTAGTATGGCTACCAAAGGTCAAACGAGGATCAAATTTGTACTGCTAGGAGAATCTCTATAAGTCTCACAGAATGAGTGATGCAAACAACTATCAAGGTCAGCTCTTTGATAAAGTTTAACAAGGAAGTGGACGCTGACCTTGATTTTCACCTTCAAGATTATTTCAAAATCAACTTTTTTTACAATGAAAATCGCTTTTTTGAGAGAAAGAGTGGCAAATTTTACGTTTAAGTACGAATCGAAGTCCAAGGTCAGGGTGCCATCTGAAGGTCAAATGTGTGCTGCTAGGAAAACCTCTATAAATCTCACAGGATCAGTAATAAAAGCAACGATCAAGGTCAAGCCTTAGATAAATTCTAGCGAGGGAGTGAACGGCGATCTTGGATTTGACATTGATCTTCACGTTCAGTGTCATTTCAAGGTCAACTTCATTTTTCAATGGAAATTCCTATTTTTGATGCTGGAAATCAAAAGAAAGGAAAATTTTACGTTCAATTACGAATTGAAGACCAAGGTCATGGTAACCACTAAAGGTCAAATGTGAGCTGCTAGGAAAATCACTGTGAATCTTACAGATTGATGACGAAAATAAGTATCAAGATCAGTTGTTTGGTAAATTTGACAAGTGACCTTGGATTTGACCTTAAAGCTCCCCTTCAAGTCATTTCAATGTCATTTTTTCCAAACATAAACCCGCAGGAAGAATATCGAGTAAAAATCGTTTGTAGCGAGTACCGTACTTCCCTCGTTAAAACCCAAAGTCAACTTAATTTTTTTAATAAAGAGCTGAGAATTTTACTTTCGAATATGTATTAAAATTCAAGATCAGTATGACCGCTGGAGGTCACATGGGTAAAATAAAAGCAAATATGTGCTGCCAGAAAAATCTCGCAGATAACATGACGAAAATAACTGGTAAGGTCAGGTCTTTAGTGAATTTTCACAAGTAGCGGTGATCTTGGATTTGACCTAGAACCTCACCTACAAGGTCAGTTCAAGGTCACATCTATTTTATCGAATAGAAACGCCCGTTTGATGCCGAAAATTCAGAGAGCCGAAAATTTTATGTTCTAATGTGTATTGGAATTCGAGGTCAAGGTGACCTAGAGGTCGCATAAGTTTTCTCTATTTTTTTCGTGCCACCACTAGACCGATTTTCAAAATCTACAAAGCTTTTTCAGCCTTAGCATAGTAGTAACCTATAGGCGGTTATAGAATTAACGCATAGACCGACAGACAGAGAGATAGACCGACGGAAATGAGTGACATAAAATCCAATACACGCAATATCTCAATTTAAATGCTTCTTCGCCAGTTTTGGCATAATAAGTAAAAATGTAATCAAACTTTTAGTATCAAGGTATTAAACGTGAGTTTAGTTACTGGAGAGAAATTATTGCACAACGACTAGCTTTAATTGTAAAGCGGCCCACATTTCGACGGTACGGTCCTGGATTTTAAATGGCAGCCCTATTTAGGTGGTGCGCTATAGTTTGACAAAAGGAAAAGCAATGGGGTCGAACGCACACGAACAACTCGTACTTCAGTTACTACATAATATATATTTTTGTAGAGAGTCGGAGTCAAATTGCTCCCGTCTCAAAGGCGGAGGTAAAAAAGCTTGCTTCATATAACTTCATTCTTACCGAACACAAATAATATACTTTTGTAGATATTGTGTCAAATGCTAGAAATTATTGATAATATATTCATCTATAATACGACTCTGGAAAAATGTGCTAAGAAAGCTGCATTCTTGGAATAATTCCATTGAAAAAATCATCACCTTACCTTTAGTTTGCATTGAGCGTAAATCAAATTTGGTATCGAATGGATAATGTCAAAAGATGCTTCTTTCAATGGGATGTAACGTTTACCATGGGCTGATGGATTTTCTTTGGCTAAATTAGCAACAAATTTTACTTTAGTTTCCTCATCTGCGACATCGTCAAACAGAGATAAGACGAGAGATCTTATCTGTCAAATACCGTTAATGCCGGCAGAACCTTTGTAAAGCCACTTTTGAAATGGTTTTGTAAATTCTTGCATTGCCTTTAAAATGCATAAATCCTGGCTAGGTGCGCATAGTTATATTAACTCTCGATAGTCATCTCTACTAACTTGTTTGGTCAATTCATCTAGCAGATATGTTCCAACGCAACTCGGCCGTTACCACCGAGAGTACAAGGCCAAACAACTGGGGTCTGAAAAGCCTGTGACGTCACGCGCAGTAGGCCTATGCATGTTCTTATGGAGTTTGGCCATGACTGGCTGGCAAGAGAACCGCGCGACCATTTCTCTGGGGTGTTGTCATATCTAGGTTTGATATAGCAGTATCGAAATCCCTACTAATTAGTTGTACCTCTCTGTGGGCGAATTTGCAAGATGTACTCGGGGCCTGCGCAGCTTCAGTGATGACGTGATTATTCTTTCTGATCTGACTCAGTATGTCAATAATACATTTTCGATATTACGTTCAATTTGTCGCTGGTGAAGTCTAATATTCCATTCAAAATTGGAAGATGTGGCAACCTTGCCAACTAACCTCACATTCTGAGCCTCATCTTTCAATGCTACGTAAACGGAAAATTATCGATGTTTTAAACTTATATTTGTGTCTCGCGATTGTTTAGCTAAGTTTTCAAAATGCCTTACAAGTGCTGCGTTCCTAATTGTGTCGGTAATTACGGCAAGGGTCCGAAGGTACACGTAGCCATTGACGTCTTATTCCTTAAATGTCAACGTTAACGTTGCAATTGCTCCGTTATCGAAGATCGCATTGGCAATTTTAAAAATAAGTTCGCTGGTTCCTGGATGAAGTTAGGCGAGTTGGGTGCACGCCACTGGAAGGAGACCGTTTATACAGGGGGAGGGTTGATGCCGGCGTGAATGATTCTGTTTTGTGCACTAAGAGGGTGAACAACCACCACACTGCCGCCGAGGCGCACCTGTTACGCAAATCGAGATTTAACTGCCAGCGAGGAGATTTCATCGCTGATCGTGAAAAGCCTCACCGAATTCACCGTGGTGTATTTCACATAGAATTTTAATTAAGAATAAGTTACCATTAAACGATAATAATAATAATAATAATAAGTTTATTGCAAAAGAAAAAGTATAGCAGTAGTAGATGAAAGACAATATTATACAATAAACGAATGGATCCAAAAAAGTTTCGCAGAAACTTGTGCTTGGGCATGAGCTCATGTATAAATAACTTAAGACAAAAAAAACAATACAAAAAAAATATATACATATATAAAATTTATTAGACAAGTTCTGGTAAAATTTTTAAAAAGACACAATCGGGACGGAGACGCAAAATCGGGACGTAAACGCAATCGGGATAGAGACAATATTGAAACAATATTGAAACAACAGATGTCGAATACATTATTGTAGCACACAAGATTCAAAATAGTTGATCTGTACGAAGAGTTTTTAAGGGAACGATATTGGGAATTGGCAAAACTTAAAGTTTAGTGAACTCGTTTGACTGCAGTCTCGAGCTTTCGACAAACTGTGCTGTCATCTTCACGAGCTAAAGCACAAATATGAAAATAGCAACAGATTTAAATTTTCAAATTACTTACTCGTCAGGTGTTTTAGAACGAAAGCGTGGATGAGAACACCATTAAGCAGCAACCTCAATTATAAGCAAAATCAGCAAAAAGGAGGAAAGTGTATTCGAGCTGAAAATAGGATAGGTAACCCGAGTGATACGTACTTCTGCTTGTTGGCTTCTTCAGGCCCGAAATTGATGCACATGTGCAACTACAACGAAGATGGAGAGGAAAAAACTGACACACGAGGATCTACAAGGAAGTATTTTCTCTTTGTAGATCCTTTGGGGTTAAAGTACCACAGCAAGTGGCTATAACCGGCCGCGTGGTTGTGGTTAGATGTCGCCTTGAAAATTCGAGGTCTTCTAGCCATTTTATACTAAAATGTGTAGGTGAAGTCCTGGCCAGCGTGTTCCCCGGATCTAACTCCTCTGGACTTTTTTGTTTGGAGTTTTATTAAAAACCAGATTATCAACATACTTTTGTAACTAAACAGCAGTTACGAGGACATGTAGTGGAAGCATTTAGCAGTTCTACTGTTAGAACATCATGCTTTTGACAAATATGTTTTTTCAAATTTGCTGGGTATACACAAAGAGGGTAAAATTTTTACAGTACATAGAAAGCCATTAAGACGAAGTCCAACTTCTGCTACCTTTTGAGCGTTTCGATCAGAACGTGATCGATCGGAACTTCAGCCGCATTTTATCTTTAGAAAATAATGGCAACTTATTTGAGCACCTATGGTGAATAAAATAAAACTAATGTTAAAAATGTATTCGTTATTCAGACATCACTTTATAAAATGTTACCATCATAACACTATGTATGTAATATGAATCTATCAGTAATCACATAATATGACATCATCAAGCATTTGTTTAAATAAAATAAGTAAAGATAGAAAAACACATTTTTCTTTATAACGATTAAAACAAGTTTTACACGTGATAGATTGTTGAACTCGTAGGAAAAGATGCTATCAAATACAGATGGTACTTTTTTGAATACAGTTAAAAGTAGAGTAATTATTAGAGCCTCAACTCTATCAAATATTGAAATCACTGACTGAATAGTAGCTATTTTGTATTAAAATTCTTGTTATGCTTTTTTAAATATCGGTGTGGCATCTTGGGCTAGTTTCTGTCATGGATACGTATACCATATGCCGTCAACACGTACCAGATTGGAAAAAACGGTAGCCTAAGGATTATCCCATTTTTTGGGCATCTGTCTAGTAGTAAAATTTCGGGTAGGCACGTAAAAAACGATCGCTTATACAAAAGAACAGGCGCGCTTATTTAGTAAACGGGGGACCAGAGAAGAATGCTTCCACGCTTCGACACCTCAGTCAAAAAGCAGGTCCCCATTTGCGCAATATGTCATCCGGAATAAGCTAGAGATTAAAGTTGCTATGGGGTAGGGACTTATACTAAATGCGTTTACCATAAAAGGAAGATATTTAATGGTATGCGATGTATGTCGTTCACCGAAATTGCTTGCGATATCCTAAGGGCATATAGCTTGGATGAAATCATATCCCTAAGCATAGAATAGAATAGATTGGCTACAAACTGTAATTTACAAAGTACCAATTTTATATATGCTACCGGTAATCTGCATAATTCATGAATTCTATACAATACGTAGGCAATCTATAGAATACCTAGGTTGCCCTGCCAATGTACGAGATATTATGGATATTATTATCCATTACAAACTTCACCTAGACAATGGATACAATTCCTACCTACAAAGAGTACCTGCTATTGCACGGGCAATGTGTGTAATAAATAGATCTTCGTGTAAATTTATCAATGTAACCGGCATACCTATAAAGTCATGGGCAACTGAAACATACTTAAAATCAACTTATCATTTTTTTACCTTCCTGCGGAGATTGTGATGTGGGCGTCGTTTCGTTAACTTACAGATTCTGGGATATTAGACACTAAAACACCAGTTTATGGAGTAGTACCATTTTTATGTGGTACCTTACGTTTAGTTGTTTTGGTTTGGGTGTTACCCCGTCCATTTTCTAATGGGATTTTAACCTTCAGCGTGGGGAGGCATTGCGGAGAACCACCATTCACACTCTTCCAGTTTTGTTTTGTAGCTGTTTTGCAGCTCATGTTGCTGGAAGCCAGCCCTTCCCTTGCTCTCGTCTTTTAGAACACCTAGGCAAGCTATAAAATAAATAATATTTCATACATAACCTAACCGTTTTAGGTATTCTATATCTACATTACCTAGGTATTGTATAGAATACCGGATTATACAGATTTCCAGTAACATGTATAATATAAAACATACAGTCACTGGCACTAACATAGACATAATAGTAGAAAACACATGAAAAAAAGTACCAAAAAATAATTTAGAAATCCTATTGCAAAAACGGAAACAACATTAAAAATCCAGGTATGCATTACGGACTTGACGAATTCGTGTCCTAAAAATTCGTCAACATAATAAAGACATACGAGGTCTGTAAATTAAGTGATGAGTTTGGCAACGTAGCGTTCGATCAGGCAACACTGGAGGCGCCAGGCTTGGAGGGGAGACAGGAAAACATGTGATCCGCCTTCAGTACAAGCTTAAACTCTTTGAGTAGGTTCAGCAAATATTTGTTTATATGTTGGTTTGAGCTTCCTTAAGCTCATGCGGTAGGGTAGTGTATAATTTTATATCAAGGAAGTTTTCAGCAGTCTTCGCCAGCCTGAATCTGCGGTCTCTTACTAACGATAAGATCCTAGTTGGATAGTTATGGTGTCAAACTCTAATTTGTTTTTGTGCGTTTCATTATTTCCAAATTGGTGAAGTGATGAATCGTGATTACTCGTGTAGCTTTCTTTTATGATTTTAAACTATCTTAGGTACTGCGTATATATCTTTCAAATAGTATATTTTAACGAGATATCTAGTCAATATCTTGCAGATTAGCTATTTTTTAGGTTCTTGATGTCGTTCAATGTATCATTCGAAATTAGGTTCATGTAGAGTCCAGAAACAAAAATAACGAGGCGGTTTGCAATGCCAAAGACCGGT